CTTCTGAATCTGGTTGGCTTTTAATTTTCTGTATTCAGGTCAACCTGTCTATTTTTTATGTATTCTGATGAGATCATTCATTTTTGTTTTCAATAGGATCTGAGGAACAAGATCTTGCAAAACGCGATCAGCGGTAAAGATATTGAGTTAGCTACAGAGAGGATACCTTTTTTTTTTTTTCTCTTGGTGCAACATTTTATTGACCGGTTTGTGTCAATGCAGCTTTTTCTCCCTTGAAAATAAGACTTGGTGGGACTTTGCAAGACAGAGTCAGATACCAAACTAAGGGTGATCCAAAGCCATGTTTGCAGTTTGTTCGCAATAGCTCACAGATGCTCGGATTCACGGAAGGCTGCTTGCCCGTGTCTCGATGGGACGAATTGAATCATTTCTTCAAAATTACAGGGTAAAAATCTTTGATCTTCAACTGCAGGGGAAAAAAAAAAAAAGGAAAAACAATGCATGTAAGGTTCAGGTAAAAAAAATAAAATAAAGAAACAGCCCACAGAATTTCAGAAATCACAAAAAGAGCCCATTTAGGTAGGAGTCATTTTCTCCTTTTCTCCTTTCATGGGGGGGAAAGAAGAATAAAAAGCACCCCTACCAACAATTGTAACAGTACTGTCTTAAAATTTTCTTCCTTGAAGACTTTGTTTTGCTGGGAGCTTTTTGTAAATATCTCAAACTTCAGAGGTGTTTTTTGTACTGCCATAATATGCAATGGCACATATCTTACCAAATATATTCATGGTGAACCCATACTGCTCCATCTTTTTTCAATAACTGCAGAGCCAAAATTATTTTCGGTCTGAACGCATTAACCGGCCGAAAAATTCAACCAAACGGCACTGCCACGGGTGCTTGGAATTCGAGCAACTCAGAGTATCTAATAAGGCACACGGTCGATAACGGCTACACTATCCACGGATGGGAGCTTGGTAACTATTCTTGATATTTTCCAACAGTGGACATGCTATTTTTTTATATAGTTCACTGTAACTATAGATTATGGAGGTTAATAGTTTTATATGTTCAGGAAATGAGCTGAGTGGCAAGGGAATAGGAGCAAGTATTGCAGCAGATCAATATGTATCTGATGTGATAAATCTTCAAAAGTTAGTGCAAGAGATTTATAAGGATTTTGGAACCAAACCATTAGTACTTGGACCAGGTGGATTTTTTGATGCAGCTTGGTTTGGAAATTTTGTGAAAGGTGCATCAAGCTCTC